GAACGAGACACGCAGCAAGGTCCATGCAGAGCTCCGATGACGTGGGACTCGATACATCATGCCCCTCAATCCCCAACACGATTAGCACCAGAAAGGTCTTGCGAAGTGCGGGCGAGTAGGAGTAGGGAGACGCCAAGTGGTCAGCCCCAGGGGTAGGACATAGCAGAGTCATGGTCCCATGTCTCTGACCCTCCACGAAAAAAAATCTCATCGCGCCAGAAGAGAGTGACCATTCTCAGCATGGCTGACCACCACCTGATCGTGGCCTGCACCAGCCCCTGGCAGGCAGCAACGCAGACACACCGTCGCCTGGGCAAGCCTGGTCTGTTCCCATTCTGTCTCCGCCTTGCCCATGACCTGGGCTCTGGCCCCACTCGTTCGCTCAACCTGAGGCCAAGTGCCAGCTGGGTCACCTTTCTGCCCCACAAGCCGCTAACCCAGGGCTGCAAACCGGGTCAGGAAACACATGTGTGGGTGAGGCGCCAGTCACCCTTCGGTGGACCAGCCACGAAGAACCCAAGCCCGCCTCGAGGAAGGGCAGCCTGGCCACGGCCCACGTGGGGCGAGACGCTGGAGCTTGGATGGGGCTGCCTCACCCAGGAACCCAGACCAAACCTGCCGGGTGGCCTCGCCTCCCAGGGGAGCGGGAGTTATCCAGGACGGGATATACCTCCTGCCTGGCGATGCGTGCCCCAAGACTCTCAAAAACTAGAGTCATTGAAGGAGCCACTCCCTCCTCCTCATTCCTCTGCAATACCTCACACGCACATGCAGCACACTGTGGAGCACATGGCCACACGCATGGCACACATCTTCGAGCATGTATATGCACACACAATTACATATGTTGTCTCAACATACAGGTACGCACGTGCCCATGTACATACAGGTATGGCAAACATGCACGGTGTACAACCAAAGCTCATCCCCACACATGCACCATACAGTATGCCACCCCCCCCATGCCACTCGTCTCCCAGGGTTCACTCACGCTAAGGAGAAAATAGTACATAGCCAGGAAACAGTCTAGGGGTCATTTATTTTAATTAATTAAAACAGCACCCCTTACCCCGCGGCAGCCATACTCTCAAGCCGTCTAGTAATGCCACTTAATACCAACATAAACACGCCTATGCATCTTAGCAGAGCAATAACACAGCTCAGAACCCAGCCTGTGAAGCATTCTAGCTGCAGCTCTGGAGCGGTGGAGCCATCCCTGCCCTACGCACCTCCCCAGCCCAAGCACACAAAACAGACCCAAACGCCCAGGCTGGCCGTGAGCGAGGCTGCCTTCCCAGGTGTGCCTGTGACCGTGCGCTGTGGTGTCATCCGCACGGCAGCACAGATTGAGAATCGGGACAGGGCTGCTTCCCCATGTCATAGATGAGGAAGCAGGGGTCGGGCCCAGAGATGGGGGCCCGGGGTGTATCGTTGAAGAGCCTGGCTCTGGCAGCCCTGGCTTTGAAACCTGAGGCTGCCGAGTACCATTCTGGGGCAATGCGGGCAATTCACACCCCTGCCCAGAGCCTTGGTTTCCCCCTCTGTGAAACGGGCCAGTGGTATTGGGTCTGAGATGATCCATGTGACGTGCTCGGCACGGTGCCCAGCACACACTGGCAGCCGTGGTGACTGGCGCTCAGGGAAGACCAGTCTCCTTTTGAAGTTGTGTTCAGTGCAATTCTGGAACATACAGCCGGGAATCCGCTGCAGTGTCCTTCCCTCCTCTCCCGGGACCCTCTGTAAAGTTGCCTGCTTGCTGTCAGAGCTGTCCCCTCAGCCGGCCTCATGGTCAGTAGCACCCAGGACATTTGGGTGCCACCTTACCTTATGGCAGCTCCCTGAGACTCTGGGCTCTGGGCTGGGCAGCCACACGGCCACCGGCTGCCTTCCCTTGCTTTGGGGTGCATGCCTTGTGCGTCATTATGCCCCTTCCTTGGGGTCCCCCGGCTCCCCACCCTGGCCTGGCCTGGCCTGCTGGGCGTCTGTTTGTGTTTTTTGCTGTTCGGCAGTCTTTTCTGCTTGGGCTGCACGTCCGGTGTAGACTCCGCCGTGAGCAGAGCAGCTGGACCATGAGGTGTTCAGCAGCGGGGGCTGGCGGTGGGGGCTGGCGTGGCCCCGGGCTGCCGTGTCCACCTGCACCAGGGAGCAGAGGTGGCTCTTCCCGGCTGCCCAGGCAGCCTCCCCGCCCCCTCGCAGTCTGCCCCCAGGCTGCATGCGTGGTAGGGACACACGCTGCCCTGCATTGATGCACTCGGGGCACATTAGCAGCCTAACTCTTAGGTCTCCGGTTATTCTAGAACTGGAATTTGTCCCAGGCTAGTACTAGTCGGGTTTTGGATGATCTGTTGTAGAGGGTCCCGGGTTGTCTACCTTTTACGGGAGGGACCGAAGCTCCTTCTGCTCATGGTGCCAGGCATCGCATGCCAGCAGCGCCAGGCGTCCCCCCTGCGCTGGGGGTCAGCCCTGCAGACCTCCGGGCTCTTGCTTGGTGCGGAGGCCTGCAGCTGTGGCAGGGAGAGACCTCCTGGGCAGCTGCGAGAGGCCCGTGTGTGGGATGGGCCCCGGGGCGTGGGGGGCAGCTGAAGTACTGTGGGGGCGTGGGGACCAGGGACCCCCAAGAACAGGGTGAAGTCCCAGCGTCCCCCAGAGGCCATACTTTAGTTTCAGCAGCTTTCAGTGGCACAACCAGTGGGGACAGTGAGGTCATTGGTGGCCCGTGACTAAAAGCTGAGTGCAGCCCCTCGGCTGCGTGACCAGAGGCCGGAGGCTGCACGGAGAGGGGGTGTGTCCCCTCCCCCCCGAAGGTGGCTGGTCGCCCCCGGTGGCAGCTGCCACCGTGCAGGTTCCTAACAGTTCTGGAGCATTCCGTGGACACATGCACGCTCTCTTGCCGAGTGTTTCTCCTGCCCCTGCCCCCACACACCTCCCCTCCGTGCCCGGTGTCCCGCTGGCAGAATGCAGTGTCCAGAAGGGCTCGGGTTGGCTGGATTCCTATCTTTCTGGACGGAAAATTTAATTTGGACAGTTGCCAGGGGGACTTAAAATGCTGGATGTTGTTCCCAGAGTTGTGAGATGGGCCTGGGCACTGCCTCAGCTTCCTGACCGCTTTAACCAGTCCCTGCCTGCTATGGGGACCCTGTGACAAACCCCAGAGGCTGCACACGCAGGCCAGCTGTGTCTTGCCCTGGGGGGCTCAGAGGAGGAAGCTGATGCAGGACAAGGTTACAAGGTGATAGGATCAAAAAGAGCTAGAGGTGCCACTGCTGAGGGCAGATAAACGATCTCATGCAACTGGGTAGGGCAATCTTGGACGTGGTTGGGCTGCCTGTAGGAGGGGGCTTCAGAAAAGCACTGACTCACTCCTGCTAAGCTCAATCCTGGCGTGCACATGCCCAGCTGCTCAGTGGGCCTGGGAATGTGGGGTGTGTCCTGCTGCCACTGGCTTCTCCACCACCTCCCGTCATGTGGGTGGAGGGGAGGATGCAGGGTGGAGGTGCTTCCCAGGTAGGAGGACCCGCAAGCAGCCGGGAGGCAGCTGGGGCTGTGGAGAGGTCCCCACCTGTCTAACGCCTTCACTGCACAGAACCAAGGACAGAACAGAAACTTCTACGGGCAGACAGATGCGCTCTCTCTTCCATGGCTAATGCGAGAGAGAATGGATCCAGCCTCTATGGAAGGCCACTGGGTAATTTCTAGACAATTGCAGAGGCTTGTCCCCCTCAACCGGTAATCCCACCGCGGGGACTTTATCCTACGAGGAAACTGGCACGTTAATGCATAGTCCTATCACTCAAAGAGGTGCTCGAAATGGCTGAGTTTGGAGACAGCCAGTGCCAGAGGTTCCCTCGGGCCGTCCTTAGAGAGCGATGCGTGTGGCTTGGCCCAGTCTGGCTCGCGCCCAGGAGTGGCACGGCCCCTGCCCCTGCATGTGCCATTTTGCAGGCCCCTTGCCCATGGAGAGGCATGCTGGCGGTGCTGGCACATGGAGACCCGTGCAGCCCACTGGAAGGGGTGATTTATGTCGCCGGCTGGCGAGCACCGTGCCACCGCCTTCTGCTAGCATCGTGGGAAGCGTGGTGCCTGGCGTCTCCTGCCCTCGCTCTCACCCTCCCCACTTCCTCCTGCTGTCTCGCAGATGCAGAGTGACCACTCAGTCACCTGGTTCTGCTGCTCCCTTTGGAGGGATGCACCTGCCTGAGGGACTCCTGATAGCCCAGCTCTGCTTGAAGCCACCTGTGCCCATGAGCTCAGGAGCAGAAGGCGGCCAGGGAAGGGGGGACGCGGTTTGGGCCGATTTCCCAGGTCTCCTGCCCACAGCCCCGCTGGGTCCCGACAGCATGAGCGATGGGCTTGCAGAGGCTGCTGGCCACGCCGCGCCATCTGGCGGGGCTATTGTTGACCACACAAAGGATGGAGTGCGGCAGGGCAGGGGCCGGGCCGGGAGTGGACGGAGAAGCAGGAGGGAGGGTGCCTGGCCTCCCAGCACATCAGCTAGCTGGGGTCAGCCCGTTTGTCCTGCCACGGCCAGGCCGGGCGTTGGATCTGTTTTGCTGCTGCTTGGGCTGGGGCGGAGGGTGCTGAGGGGGCAGGGGATGGCTCCACCCCTCCAGAGTCTGCAGCTAGAATGCTTCAAACAAGTCTGGTTCTGAGCTGATTTATTGCTCTGCTAAGATGCATAGGCAGTTTTATGTACTAGGTAATTAAGTGGCATTATAGACGGCTTGAGAGTAAGTGGCTGCTGTTTTAATAATTAAAATAAATGACCCCTAGACTGCTTCCTGGCTTGATACTATTTTTCCTTAGCGTGAGGACCCTGGGGAGACAGAGTGAGCATGGGGGGGTGCGCATACCTGTATGTGCATGTGTGGGGGCATGCTTGTGTGTACACGTGCATGTGTGCACATACCTGTATGTACATGGGCACGTGTGTACCTGTATGTGAGAACACACATATGTACATGTGTGTGCATATACATGCATATGAGAACATGTGTGCATGCGTGTGAGCATGTGCTCACACGTGTGTGCATGTGCGTGTGAGGTATGCAGGAAGGATGGAGGAGGAGGTGGCTCCTTCATGACCTCTAGTTTCTTGAGAGCTCTTGGGGCACACGCATCGCCCAGGCAGGAGGTATATCCTGTCCTGGATCAACTCCCCTTCTACCTGGGAGGCAGGGCCAACCCGGCAGGTTTGGGTCTGGTTCCTGGGTGAGGCAGCCCCCATCCAAGCTCCAGCTCTCGCCCCACGTGGCCGTGGCCAGGCTGCCCTTCCTCAGGCAGGGGCTTGGTTCTTGTGCTGGTACCACGAAGGTGACTGGGCTCACCCCACACACTGTGTTCCTGACCCCCGGTTCTGCAAGCCCTGGGTTAGGGCTTGTGGAGGCAGAAAGGTGACCCCAGCTGGCCACTGCCTCAGGGGAGCCAGAAGAGTGAGGGGCCAGAGCCCAGGTCATGGGCAGCGGAGACAGAATGGGAACAGGACCCAGGGCCTTGCCCCAGGCCACCGGTGTGTCTGCGTCTGCTGCCTGCCCAGGGCTGTGCAGGCCACGGGGTGGTGGGTCAGCCCTGCTGGAGAATGTCACTCTCTTCTGCCCGATGAGATTTTTGTTTCGTGGAAGGGTCAGAAGACATGGACCATGACCTGCTATGTCCTCACCCCCCGTGGGGCTGACACTGGGCTCTCCCCGCACCCCGGCATTTCTGTGCATGGTTGGAGTTGAGGGGCATGAGAGGTCCAGTCCTCGGCTCTGCATGGAGGTCATCGTGTGGGGAGCCCTGCAAGAGGGATGAGGAAGGAGAGGACACATGTGCCACCGTGTGCCAGGCTCTCCCTGTACCGAGTTTCATTTAATCTCACCAATGCCGCAGCAGAGGTGAGTCTTTCCCAGCTGGGTTCCGAAGTCACCAGGTAGGGCCAGGCCCGAAGCCCCCTCACTGCCCCCGTCTATGCAGCCTCATCTGCACATCCCCATGTTTACCGAGCTTCCTGGGCCAAGTGCCGAGAGCTTGCAGGTTCTCCAGGCTGGGCCAACCTCATGGTCCCCGCCAGCCCAGGGGTCCCAGTCCCTGCACTGTGCCTGTGTGGCCATCCAAGCAGCTCCCCGTCCCAGGCCTCAGTTGTACTTTCTGAAAAACAGGCGTGTCCAGCCATGACTGGGCTGCGTGTGCTGTACCCCCACACTGCAACATGGAGGGTGGCAGACAGAGTCCCAGGGCCAGGGGTTGTGACTGGGCCCGGGGGGTCCCAGGCAGAGGTCTGTCCTGGCACGGTGGCCCTTGGAGGACACGTGCCACCCCTGTTGGGGGCTGGTGGGTGCCGCCAGGTGGCCCCTTGTGCCACCCTGGCTTCCCTCCTCTTGGCTGCTGTGCGCTGTGGGGCAGGCCCTTGGCCTGTGTCTGATCCCAGAGCCCGGCAGGGAGGCGGTCGGCGTTGGCGTCGGTGCCGGGCTCTGCCCACCTGCGGACGGCTGCGGGCCTCTGGGCTCTGGGATTGGAGGCCCTCCTCGCTCTGACCCCGCCAGCCCGGCGTGTCTTCCCCGAGCGGCTTTTCAAGCCGGGTAAAGGGAGTGTCACCAGTGTTGTTTGGTTGCCACAGCAACTCACCCAAGTTCGTGCTGTGCTGCCTGCCGGGTGCTCAGATCCAGCCATGCCGCAGATCCAGCCATGCCGCCGGCTTAATTCTGCCGTTACTGCGGCGGTGGCCGTGGGAAGGCTACCCTCGGGCGCTCCTGCTTCTTGGACGGCCCCAGGCTCCAGGTTCTCACTGGACGGGGCGCGGGGCACAGCCTCTGGAAGCTGCTGGGTGGTGGAAGGGAGGCACCTCCAGGGCCTGCCTCCACGGTGGCCGCCCCCAGCCTGTGTGCACCCCGAGTTTCACAGGTGGGGGTGGAGGCGGGGAGGGGGCTTGGCCCAGCGGATGGTCCTAAAGATCCAGGAGGGCCCCTTTCCGGGAGGTGTGAGACACTGGCTTTTTCCTGGCTCAGGGCCACTGTTGCCTGAGCGTCCCTCGCGGGTGGGTGTGGCTCAGGCCCAGGCAGGTGTGGGGGTGAGCTGTTGGCTGGGAAGTGGGGGACAGATCCCCCAAAGCCCTGGGGGGGGTCTTTGCATGCTGAGGGGTGGCCCTCAGGGGGCTGCAGTGCAGGTTCGTGTGCGGGGCAGAGGGCTGCAGGCTGTGATTTTGGAGCTCCTCTCTGGCTCCCCCTCCTGTGAGCTCCTCAGCCCCGGAGCTTGGGACCAGACTACCAGTCACCGAGGAGGGGACCCTGGGGACCAGCCCATGAAGCTTCTTAGAGCGACCGGGCTGATCTGGGAGCCCCCAACGATGAGGAGGTGAGGCCTGAAGGTGGGTTCCCCTGTGCCTCGACGGCCAGGGGTGGCCTCCTGCCTCCTGGGTCCCTGTCCCTGGTGTCCAAGGCACGTCCTGGGTCGGGGGTGCTGGTGCGAGTTGGTTCCTACGGGGAGGTGAGGAACACGTACCTGGCAGTGTGCAGGTGTGAGTGGGGCCAGGTGCAGATTTTATTTTATCTTCTAATTTCAAATGGGTACCTGTTCGTTAGGGAGACTTAGGAGGACGTGGACAAGTGGAAGAAAAACCCAAACCCACACGGCCCGAAGCTCGTTTCTCTGTTGTTCCTGTTCTCCTGGCGCAGCTGGCTGTTGAGTGGCGAATCCCACCTTTCTCGCTCCACGTGCGTCTTACTCTGTGTGACCTGTCAGCGGCCACCTAATGTCCCTTCCAGTGGGTTAACCGGAATGACTCCCCTTTTGTCGGGCCCGTATAGATTGTTTCCCGATGGTGTAGTTGGCGGGGTTTTGTTTTCTGCAGTGCTTCTGGTCAACAGCTGCCCCGGCTGGCTGAGGCTGCGACCGGTGTGGGGGCTGTGGTGGGGCCACGGGTACCCCCGTGAAGGGGCTGTGGGCAGTGAGGCCGGACGGTGCCCGGAGGGCTGGTGTCAGGGAGGTCAAGTGTGCCTGGAACTGGCTTAGCACCCGCCCATCAGGGCTTTTATTTTTAACGTTAAAAATCTACAAGAGAAGCCAGCCGTGTTACTTTGCTAGGGCTGCCGCCACAGAAGACCACAAAGTGGGGGGCTTCCGTCCACAGAAATGGGGACTCTCACAGGCCTGCAGGCTGCAAGTCCAAAGTCAAGGTGTCGGCAGGGTTGGTTCCCTCCGGAGGCTCTGGGGGCGGCTTGTGGCTGTGTCTCCCCTGCACGTGGCCCCCCCCGTGACTCTGTGTGTCCTTTTCTGTGTCTTACGAGGACACGAGTCATTGGATTTGGGGCCGCCCTAACGCAGTGTGGTCTCTTGGTTCTTACCTTGACTACACCTGCAAAGACCCTATTTCCAAATAACGGCCCCACTCTGAGGTTCGGGGTGGACATGAATTTGGGAGGACACTCTTCAGCCCACTGTGTCATCCTTTGTTCCCCAGGAAGGTGAGGGGCTGGCAGAGGGGGCGGAACCCGCCTGCTGTCGGCGCTGGTGCCCAGTTCTCTGCCGTGGGTCGACAGACACGGCAGCTCGGGGCTTCTAGGAGACCCTGGAGGTGTGGCCAGGTTTTCCCAGTGGCGACTTAAACAGGCGGCTGAAGTTGGCTCAGTTGATTATTTTTCTCCCTTGTGGTTAAGCTGAAGATGCATCTTCTCCCGTGCCATCTCACGCTTTGGACGATTGTGGCTTACGTTTGGAAGGACGTGGCCTCAAACGCACTTGTTCCTTCCTAGGCCGGGGCAGTGAGAGACGTTGCGCATCTTTGCTAGTCATGGCAGAGTGCGTCGCCTCCCTTAGCCAGGTACGTTCACCTGGGGAGTGAGTCGGCGAAGGCTGCATGGGCATCCCCCCCCCCAACACCATCGGGCTGGGTGGCAGCAGCCCCTCGCCCTGCCCTGTGCCAGCGTCTCCGCCCAGCTCTGTGCTCAGAGGGTTACCGTGACGATCAGGTGAGGTCACGGAGGTGAGGTGCGCAGCATAGCACCGCCCACGCGCTTCTATAAATGACGGCGAAGCTTTTTCTTTTCTTCTGAAATCTGTTCAAACTTAGAGAAGAGTGGCAAGAATACACCAAAGGCTCCTGTACAGCTTCATTGCCTTCCCCTCCCTCCCTCCCTCCCTCTCTCTGTGGACTCTTTTTTTTCCTGAACCATTTGAGAGACATTGCAGTGAACACCCCTCTTTCACCCTACCTACTTTGGGGTGCATTTCCCGAGAACAAGGATGTTCACACAGCACAGTGACAGCACAGTGATCAGTGTCAGGAAATTCGGCGTCGGCATGGCACCTGTCCCAGCGCGACGCTCTAGCGATGAGCTTCTCATCCGGGATCACACGCGGTACCTTCTCGCTGCGGCCTTCTTCTCTCATTTGGAACCGTGCCTCCCTCTTTCTTTGATGTTTTTGAAGAGTGCAGACCGGTTCTTTGGTAGTAGATCTTCTACCGATCTGGCTCTGTCTAATGTTTCCTCGTCTGGGAGGCTGGGGCTGTGCGTTCTGGGCGGGAATGGCGTCCTCGGTGCGTCCAGTCGGGGGGACAGCTGGTGCGTGGTGGGAGGGCTTGGTCAGTCGGGTCAGCAGGTGCCCCACTGTAAGGTTACTGTGTGTCTTCGTGGACAGTCACTGCTCTGTGGGAGCCTGTGCAGGTGTCTTGACCCCCGCCGGACGTCCACGCACCTGTTTTAGCGTCCGTGGTCATCGCTCACGGGCGGCAGCAGGTGGATTCCTGACTTCTGTCCTTCCATGTTCAGTGGTTGTGTTCTCCTGCCAGGGCAGCTCCCTGTCCCTCAGTGGCCCGTGTGTGGGTGCTTTTCTGCTGGCATGGACTCCAGCGTTCTTATATAATGCAACAGGGTTGTAATCCCTGGCTGTCATTGTCTTTGCCACCTTGCCTGGGACAAAACCTGGCTGTGTGCCAGGGAGGGGAAGGGGTTTGATGGCCAAGGTGTGTGTCCTTCTAGGGCTGCTGTAGGGCCTGGGGCCGTGCCGCTGGCCTGGCCTGGGACCTCAGACAAGCTGGTGGACACCTTAGAGTCCCCTGTGTGCCCCGTTGGTACGAGAGGTTAGGACAGGCTGACATGTAAAGTCCATTTGTCCCGTCCCACGAGGCTCTGAGGGTGTCCTCCCGTTGCCTTGTGCCATCTTCTTGCAGATACCAGGCGTTGGCACGGGGCAGTTCCTGGCGGCCTGGCCGGCTGTCAGCGGTCTCCGTGGGAGTGATTACACAGAGGGAGGCTCCCAGCACCTGCCCCTCCCCTGCCGGATTGAGGCCTGTTTGTTCTCATTAGTAACCAAGCATTGACCTCACCCTGGCACCGGCTCTGCCCCGACCTTCGAGTCTGTTCTTGTTCATTTCTTTCTTAAAGAAACAGCCGTGTGGGCAGGCTCTGTGCATGCCTCCTCTGCCTCCAAGGGCCTGGCCCACCTGCGTCCACCTGTGCCGGAAGGGTCCTGGGAAGCTGTCACCTCCCTCATTGTACAGAGGGGTTCTCTGGAGCCCAGAGAGGGGAGGAAACCTGCTCAGAGTCACACAGCAAGGTGGTGGCGGGCCCAGGAGTCTCAGACTCTACCCCTTCACTGTGGGTGCCCACGCCCTCCCTTTGGGTTAGGGTCCCTCTGGTCACCTGTACTTTCCCAGAGCACAGAATTGGCTGCTCCCTGGCGCGGAAGAGGGCAGGGCTGTGGTCCCTCTGTCCTCCAAGTTTGAGCTAGCCTCTGGAGGGGATGGGCAAAGGGGACCGTCCCTGGCACAGGCCCGGGGCTGCTTCCTTGGTGGACCTGTCCCCAGCACTGGGTCCTTGCCCCAGCCCTGACTGCAGGTGCCCAGCCCTGGGCCTTCACCTTCCCATCCATGCCCGCGGGGGCGGCTCCTGGTCAGGGAGTGGGCCGCCTGTGTGAGCTGCCAGACATGGGCCGCCTCCGTCCTCCGCAGGGAGCTCTGGGAAGGAGGCCCCTTTGCAGAGGTGATGCCGAGGCCCCAGCGAGGTCACCTGCCGTACAGGGGAGGCGGCTACCATTTACAGATGAGGACCCTGAGAGGCTCAGAGACAGTTAGTCACTGGTGCGAGGTCACACAGCTGTGATGTGGATGAGTGTTTCCATGGTTGCAGAGAGGCCCAGCTGGCCCCAGGCCTCTCTTGACCTTCTACCCTGG